CACACAATCGGCTGTATACAACCGATTTCAATAAAACCGGCTTCTATAAATTCGAACTAATTTCGTAGTGTAGACATACCCCAAGAGTAGGAATAAATGGTCTGTTTTCAGAATGGAAAGAGGTAAATAGTGGTGTCCCCCAGGGGTCTGTACTGGGACCAGTCCTATTCAACATATTCATAAATGGTCTGGAAAAAGGGGTAAACAGTGAGGTGGCAAAATTTGCAGAAAATACAAAGCTACTCAAGATAGCTAAGCCCAAAGCAGACTGTGAAGAGCTACAAAGGTACCTCACAAAACTGAGTGACTGAGCAACAAAGTAGCAGATGAAATTCAATGTTGATAAGTGCATAGTGATGCACAGTGGTAAACGTAATCCGAACTATACGTATAAAATGACGAAGTCTAAATTAGCTGTTGCCATTCAAGAAAGAGATCTTGGAGTCATCGTGGCTAGTTCTCTGAAAACATGACTTCTGCAGCATTCTGCATCAAAACATTAAAAATTCTCTCCAAAAATATAAAAATTCCACGCACAGTGTTTTAAATTTCTGCAAATGTTATTTGTCAAATCAATTTGGCGGCTCCAGCATGGCAGTGGGGAGCACTGGCCACTGGCTGCACAGAGGTGGGAGATCACTGTGCACCTCCCCCCAGGACACAGACTCAGCGGTGAGGCTGCACCCAACCCTGACACAGCACAAGGACCGGGCCTGCCCCAGAAAAACCCCAGGGCCCTGCCCCTCTGTGCCAGGTGCACCAGGTGTGGGGCGGGCACGCTCAGGAAGGCAGGATCCAAGTGTGGAGGGGCTTAGTGTGGAGGGATGCAGGTGTGGGTTGAGAGGGTTCTGTGTGGGGCAGTTTGGGTGTGGGCAGCTCAGTGGGGGATCTGCAGGGGGGGGATCTGGATGCACAGGAGCTTGTTGGGAGGTTCTGGGAGCAAAGGTAATGGGACTCTGCAGGGGGTTAGGGTGAAGGTGGTTGGGGCTCAGCAGGGTGGGCTCTGGGTGTGGGTGGCTCAGTGGGGTGGGGATCCAGGTGCAGCTGGTTGGGGCTCAGTGGGGTGGGGATCCGAGTGCAGGTGGCTCGTTGGGGTGGTCCAGGTGCAGCGGAAGTGGGGCTCATCAGGGTAGGTTCTGAGTGCGCGGGGGTGAGGCTCTGCAGGAGGGTCTGGGTATGAGGGTGTCTGGATGCATGGGGGTTGGACGGATGGGGGAGCAGCTGCCTGTACAGGGATCCCTCCCCCTGCAGCTGAGGAGCGATGGGTGCAGGAAGTGGGGGGAGGGGAGTTTGCAGAGCTTCCTGCAGCTGTGGGAGAACTCTGGGGGTGGATCTGACCCAGCCCCAATTGCCATGCTGGGGAAGAGGAAGTCCCGTCCTCCCCAGCCCAGCTGGGACTAGCAGCTGACCCCAGCACAGGGTAGGAGCCAATAGCTGGGTCTTTCCCAGTCCCGCCCCCTGCCCCACAGTGATATACCTCTCTGCCGGCTGCCCTGGGCACCTGAAACATACGGCTGGGGAGGGTCACATGACCGCTCTTGTGGCTTCCCTTTGCTTACCTGTCAGAAAGTCATTTTTTTACAGGGAACCAAAGAAATCTGCGCTGGACATAAATTCTGCGCATGCGCAGTGATGCCGAATTCTCCCAGGAGTAAAACATCCACTGAAAGTGCAGCGGCAATCCAGAAAGCAAACAGAATGTTAGGAATCATTAGGAAAGGGATAGATAATAAGACAGGAAATATTGTATCCCCTCTAGATTAGCAGTTCTCAAACTTTAGCCACCTGAGGACCCCCATTTTGATTTAAAAATTTTCGGGTAGTCCATGCTCTGCCCCTTCCTAGCCAATAGGAGCTGTGGAGCCAGCACAGGGGCGGGAGCGGTGAGCGGAGCCTCATTGGCTGCCCAGGCCCCTAGGGGCCACAGGGAGCTGGCAGCCGCTTCCGGGTGGAGGAGTTGAGGGAGCGGGAAGAGTTGGTCAGCGGGACCCGCGGACACCATGGAGTTCCCTCGCAGACCCCCAGGGGTCCGCGGACCCCAGTTTGAGAAACGCTGCTCTAGATGAATCTATGGTACACCCTCATATTGAATACTGTGTGCGGATGTGGTCACCCCATCTCCAAAAAGATATATTGGAATTGGAAAAGGTTCAGAAAAGGGCAACAAAAATTATTAGAGGTATGGAATGGCTTCCGTTTGAGGAGAGATTAATAAGACTGGGAAATTTCAGCTTGGAAAAGAGACGACTAAGGGGGGATATGATCGAGGTCTGTAAAATCATGACTGGTGTGGAGAAAGTAAATAAGGAAGTGTTATTTACTCCTCATAACACAAGAACCAGAGGTCACCAAATGAAACTAATAGGCAGCGGATTGAAAACAAAAGGGAGTATTTCTTCACACAGTGCCCAGTCAACCTGTGGAACTCCTTGCCAGAGGATGTTGTGGAGGCCAAGAGCTAGATAAGTTCATGGAGGATAGGTCCATCAACAGCTATTAACCAGGATGGGCAGGAGTGGTGTCCCTAGCTTCTGTTTGCCAGAAGCTGGGAATGGGCAACAGGATCACTTGATGATTACCTGTTCTGTTCATTCCCTCTGGGGCACCTGGCATTGGCCACTGTTGTCAGACAAGATACTGGGCTAGATGGACCTTTGGTTTGACCCAGTCTGGCCGTTCTTATGATTATGGGCGGGTGTTGAAGGAGCTGGGGATGAGGTGTGTGTAGAGACTGGGGGGACCGGAGCGGAGTGTCTCGGTGGAGCTGGGGGTGGGAGGGCGGGGTGCCTGGGAGCAGGTAGACACTGGAGTGCACTGCAGGTTTGGGGACATGGGGATGAACGGGGGATGGAAGGGCAGGCGCTGGTAATTGGGAGCAGTGTTGGATCTAGGGGGAAGGAGGTATGGGGAGAGGGATGGGGTGGGGCTCTGGGGCAATCGGGAGGCGCTGAGGGGTTGGGGATGGTGGGGGATCTGTGGGGAGGGCAGAGTTGTGGGAGGGATATGGGTGGGAGTCTGGGGCAGTCAGGGAGGCCTCGGGCTCTCGCAGACTCACAGGGCTCGACCCCATGCCGGCCCCATTTAGGGCTGGCCACATCTCCCCACAGGCTCCCTGATGGGCGACCCGGCCGTAATGGTGACCCTGCTGCCCAGCCTGCCCGAGGCAGTGCCAGGCCAGAGCTCGGCCGGGGAGTTCATCTTCCTGCTGGACCGCTCCGGCAGCATGGAGTGCTCCATGGATGGCCGAGACCGCTCCCCCCAGCGCATCGACAGCGCCAAGGTACGGCCAGGCGGGAGGCCGCGCTAGATGGGCCTGTGGAGGGGAGCAGCTCAGGCTGGCTGGGCCTGGGAGGGGCAGAACCAGGTGCGGGAGCAGCCCAGGCTGGTTGGGCCCGTGGGGGTGACTCCATCTGTCTGTCCATCCCCAGGAGACCCTGGTCCTGCTGTTGAAGAGTTTGCCCCTGGGCTGTTATTTCAACATCTACGGCTTTGGGTCTCGGTTCGAGTCCTTCTACCCGTGAGTCCGGGGGAGGGGGGGGCATGTTGCTGGCTGGGTTAGGGATCAGGGCAGGCTGGGGTCGGGGTGTCTGTGGGTTGGGGGCAGGGCTAGCTGGGGTCGGGATGTCCCTGGCTCCAGCTGTCCCGGCCCCTGACCCCTTGGCGCCCCCTACAGGCAGAGCATGGGATACACCCAACAGACCATGGCCGAGTCCCTGCAGCGCGTCCAGCAGCTCCAGGCTGACCTGGGGGGCACCGAGATCTTGGCACCGCTACGAGCCATTTACCGCAGCCCCTGCCGGGACGGGCACCCGCACCAGGTACCAGGGGCAGCCGCAGGGCGTCCCGGGGGCTCGGAGAGGGGCTGGTGCTGGGGGGAGCTGATAGGGGCTTGGGGTGGGGGCTCAGAGTAGGACTGGGGCTGACGGGGGGGCCAGTGCCCCTCGGGGTGGGAGCAGGTCATGGTAGGCAGGAGCTGGAGGGGTACCTCTGTGTAGAGTTGGGGGGCAGTGCCGGTGCTGCACCCAGCTCTGGGGGTGCCCTGCAGCCGGGGGGGCAGGTAGAGCATGTCATGGAGAGCAGGAGGGAGAGCTGCGGGCGCTGGCCGGGTGGGGCGGGGAGCAGCCTGTGGAGCCTGGTCCATCCCAGCCAGGAGAGTGGGGCCTGTGGGACGGACGGACGGACAGATGGACCAAGAACTGGAGACCCAAACAGATGGGGGCAGAGACCGAGAATCAGACAGTCGGACCCAGACAGAGAGAGACAGACTGAGGCAGGGACTGGAGGGGCGGGCGCATCGCTGTCATGAGCAGGCCTGGCTAGCGGGGGCCTCTTGCCCCTCCCCAGCATCCTGCCCTCATCCATGGGGTGCAGCACCCACCCCCGTGGGGCTGGATGAAGGGTCCCAGCTGGGGGGAAGCTGCAGGGGAGGGGCTGGATCCAGGAGGTCCCAACCTGGGGGGAATGGGCTGGGGGGATATCCTGACTCTGAGGGAGCTTAGGAGAGAGGAGGATAGGGCTGGGTGTGGGGAGGGGGGTCCGAGCTGGGGGGGGTATGGGGGAGGGGTCCCATGCTGCGTTGGCTCTGGGTGCCGGGGGGGTTGGATTTCCCTTCCCTCTCTTAGATTGTCTCTGCGTCTCTGTCTGTCCCTCTCTGTCCGTCCATCTCCCCCTAGACTTCGGTGCCGCACCCTGCATGCAGGACGTTTTCTGCATCACCTCCCAGGTCCAGTCCCTCTGTTTCGACAGGTTCCAAGAGCTCTCCGATGTGGCCATGGACTGCGCCACGGACTGCGACTTTGACGACAGCTCGGATGTGCCAGGTGAGAACCACCGTCCCCTCCTCCCCCACCGGGGCACTCACCCCCAGAGCTCCCCATGGCCAGTACTGGCTATCTCCTCCCCCCGGCACCGCTCCTCCTGGCTCCCTCGCCATCCCAAAGCTCAGCCAGGGTGCCCCTGACATGAGGGCAGGAAGTCCTGCAGACATGGTGCCCCGCCGGAGACTGTGCCCTAGAAAGGTGAGGGGGGCAGGGGCTGGCAGTCAGGATTCGGGACGGGGGGAAAACACCAGGATGACGCTTCATCGGGTCCAAGACAGATGTGCCCTGACGGTCCCGGAGCTGGGCAAGTGTTTAACAGCTACATAGAAAGTGAAGGAACTTCCTGGGCAAAACACTGCTGTGACGCTGGGGGAGGGGGAATCCGCAGCTGGGTTTTTTAAGTGCCGTGACACAAATGATCTTGCAACAAAATGAAAAAAAATAAGGAAACTCCCAGGCAATAAACTTTGTGAAGCTGGAATTTGGGGTGTGAGTTTGTATCAATGAGCTAAGTCGGGCGGGGGGGGGGGACCAACTGGGCAGCAGAGGGGGTAATCAGTCGCTTTTTAGTAACAGAAATGTCGCTGAGCAGTTTTCTCTGAAATGGGCACACAGCTAAATTCCCAGACAAAAATACCTTGTGAAGCTGCGCCCAGCCTTGGATGTTTGTACAGGTGAGTTCAGGGGCACAGATCGTGGTTGGCACGGTCTGGTTTCTAAACGAAGAAGCCCACGAAAGGCAGCAATTTT